TACAATGGTTCATCAATATAGATGCTTAATCAATTGTTTGTCATTTACGTATAAATTTTAACTCCGGCTTTATTGTTACAGGATCTTTTCTTTTCTTTTAAATGGAATAATTTCTTACATACTGTGGTATATGACATGATTGCACAAATATTCAATGGACGAATGGACATCGGATATAATAAAGCCTTGGCTATTTCAGTAAGTTCATTATTCATAATTATATTAAATTCAACTGATTATCATTTTAATTAAATTTACATACTCTTATCTAGGTTTTTACAGATGGCCAACTTATCAAACGTATCACAAAAGCACAAAGATTAAATGACTATGAAGTGTATGTTTTCAATGGTTAGAATGGTATCATTTGTAATTCCAAATGTTCTTTTATGTAACAAGTATTTTTTAATGTTTTGTAGTGAACAGCCAAAAGGTGTGAGATTAGGTTATATGGGCCATTTAACTTTTATTGCAGAAGAAGTTGTAAAATTACTTGATCGATATGCAGTGGAAATTGGCGAGAAAGTGAGAGGTTTGAGTTTTTCCGAATTATTATTGATTTGCATATGAGGTGAGTCAGTAGAAACGCACCAAAATTTTTTTTAATAAACTTTTTTTTTAAAATTTCGAACCATAACAAGAACTTAACTAAATTTTTTTAATAACTTCTACAAGTTTGTAAATTAATTAAAAAAAATTTTATTAAATTTGTTAAGTTCTTGTTATTATTGTTTAAAGTTTCAAAGACATTCACGCAGAAAAAATTTGGTGCGTTTCTACTAATTCACTTCATATACATATGTACATTATAACAATTTCTTGTATTGCATTTGATCAGAATATATTGAGGCAGAAGATTGGCAGGAGTATGTATCCAAAACATTACGAGAGACGAGAGAGCGAGACAGAGCCCCGTTAGGTGGGCAACGTCCAAGCAATCATGATAGTATGTCACCCAGTCGTGAAGAAAGCGACGACGACGATGATGATGATACTAGCGAAGCTGTTGCAGACGGTGATATGGCCAGTGATCAGGTTAGTCTTTTATTCATTATCCTTTAGCGCATAACAATTTTATATTTATTAGAATATTTCTATTTTAGTTTGCAAGGTATTTGTGCCAGCAAATTACAAACGATTTACCCGATAAATTTGGATCGTCTGATGAAAGTGATGACGACGAAGAAGAAGGGTGGATGGGGTTCGTATTATAAAAGTTTTTGTATTCGAAAACTATAGTCATATAATTGTTTTCGACCAGAACTGTATACATGAGATTAGAAATGATAAATATCGTCTAATTTTATGGTAATTTGTTGATTTACAAAATAATACTAATTCAACCTAGTGATGATTTCGACAGGGACGTCGATTTCGAAATGCGTGGCCCATTCTCAAATCCTAATATGATTGAGGTAATAAAAATTTCCTATATTAATCTTTTATTTAACATAATTTACTTTTATTTTTTTATTTTATTTTTATTTTATTCTTTTTATTTTTATTATTTTATTTTTATTTTTATTTTTGGTTATTATTATTACTATTATTATTATTTTTTACTAGAGTGATCATTTCGAAAATCGACGGTCCTCGTTGGGTGACGATTTTGGAGCGGATAGTGATGAAGATGTATGTCCTATCTCTTGTTTTATATAATCTTTTAAATAAGTCATTCTGATTGTCACGTTTTTAACAATTTGTATAGGATTCATCTACACAATGTTCAACGTCGAATATGCACGAGAATAAGCAATAGGGTTGCAGCCCAAGCCATTTCTTTGAATTATGACATTACTACATAGTTTGGGTTTGGGAATCTGGATTTCTACTTAATTTGGGTTCACAACTAAAACCCAAATATATATCCTATTTTCGATCAATAGTGTCAAACTCAAAAACCAATCAAATTTGTTAAATTAATGTTAATAAATACAACATATGCGCATTTAATACCACAACCAACCAGGAACGGATTTTATAAACGGAGGTCAGGATTAAGTCTAAATAGATATTTATATAGTACAAAAAGATGGATGATTGTTAAACTGATGGTCTGGTAAATCCTATATAATATAGGCTCTTTGTAGTAATAAGTATTATTTAACAATCTTAGAGGTTTTAAGATACTAAATAGTCATGGTCTAATAATATGATAGGTACCCAAAAATTCGATACACCCATGTGCGTTATTTCGAGATAAAAAGCCAATTTGCTGAGCTTATTTATTGCTATATAAATAGTACATAAATTTGTACTATATTTGAGTGTCGCTAAAAGAAAACCCGAAAATTTAAATGACTTATATTTAAATTTTCGGTTTTCTTTTAGCGACACTCATTTTATAAAGTGCGCGGTATTCCGGAACAGTCATTATTTTGGAACCAAATATGCAGTTTTTTAAAGGATCTGACTTTCGAAATAATGCTCATGCCCGTTCTTTTGAATTTTTACAGTGTATAAGATAAATGAGGGAAATCGATAGGAAAAAATTTTTGTTAAATATATTTTAATATATAACTATATATAAATATACAGTAAAAAATTTTATTGTAATAATTTTATATAATTTTAGATTAAATTTAATTTTAATCAGTAGATACCACTTAAAGACTATATATTTTTATATATGGGCGCCAATTTTTAGTGGTTGTAATACATATAATTAATAAATTTTATTAATGAAATTTAAAATTTTATTAATAAATTCAAATTTTGTTATATTTTTTATATATATAAGCATCAAATTTTTAATTTATATATAACTTTTAAGTGATATAAATCTTTAAAAATATATAAGATAATTAAATAACAAAATTACAGTAACACATTCTTCCCGATAATCACTTGTACCAAACTTATGATTAACGAAAACGGAAACTCGTTGGAGAAAAGTAAAAGAGTCAACTATACAAGTAATGGTTTTTACAGAGGTTAAGGGCTTTCTAGTCTTTTTTTTCCTCCCAGACTCCTCAGTATATTCAGCAAGCAAGTTAAAAGCATTCTTGTATATGATAACTGGCAGGAGGCAGTGCTCTTGTACAAAAAATTTTAATAGAAGCATAGCTTTTGTTAACAAAGTAAAAGATA